CCCACTCCTTAGCTCCATATTTATTGTTAGAGAGAGAGAGGGAGAGAGAGAGAGAGAGAGAGAGAGAGAGAGAGAGAGAGAGAGAGAGAGAGAGAGAGAGAGAGAGAGAGAGAGAGTTTGTTATCCTGTCTCAGAGTAGTTTTTTTTTTCTTCCTTTGTATCACACATTACTTTCTTTTGCATTAAACAGGAAATTTGGAGCTGGGAACCAAATTGATGTGGAGACCGTTAAGAGATGTCCAGGACAAAAAAGACATCGAGAAAATCCCGATCTACCAGGTGAGAGAGGAGACTGTTTGAAATAGCACCGTTCGTTTTTACCATTCCTTGAAAGGTACAGAAAATTTCCCACAGGGACCGTAACGCATTTTATTGTCTTGTCTTGTCTTGTCTTGTGTTGTGTTGTCTTGTCTTGTCTCGTCTGGTCTTACCTTGTCTCGTCTCGTCTTTTGTTGTCTTGTCTTGCCTTGCCTTGTCTTTTCTTGTCTTGTCTTGTCTTAAATGGTGAACCTTATGGACCTTAAACCACTTACTTTCAGCCTAAGATGGTTATACTTTTCAATGAGTTTTATCAATATGTGGCAAAAATAAATGTCCAAATAATAATGATAATAGTTTGTAATTAAAGATACAGTTAATAGCAATCATAAATATTATTTGTATAGAGCAAATTTCTCCTCAACAGCAAGCCCTATGTGCTTTACAATCTATATTATTACTCCAGCAGACCTGAGAGTATTCTGAATCTATCTCAGCTTCCTTTCAACATCTTCATTCCCCTACTTGGATGAATTGTACATAACAGCTTGCACTAAGAAAATTAATTCCATCTTTTTAGACAACAAACATCCCTTGTTCCCTCAAATAAAAACATCAGTCAGAAGTAAAAGACCCATGCTTATGATCTGTAACAAAGAAAGATACAGAAGGTCATTTTTACCATCATCTATCAAAATGCTTCCATCTTAACCATCTTGTTTAGTGTACTTACGACCTTAGAGCATGCATCAAAATAACATGGAGTGTGTATCTAGCTTACGATTATTATTGTTTATATTGCTGCTCATTTATATTATGCATGTGATTGTAAGCCTACTTGTGTGTGCATGTGTGTGTGTTTGTGTGTGTGTGTGTGTGTGTGTGTGTGTGTGTGTGTGTGTGTGTGTGTGTTTGTGTACTCGTGGTGGAACACCAAACCAATGTGCCAGGATCTGGACAATAAAGATGTATCTTATCTTATCTTATCTTATCTTAGTTGCTTGAACGTCTTGTTCCACCCCCCCACCCCCCATTGAGCTTTGCAATCTTGAGCACTGTTCTTCACAGCACCAGTTATAATGTTTACCATGTTGCGTCTTTTGTCAATGTTTGTCTCTGAATCTAGAGATATGGGACTTTGTTGATTTGATCTAATGTAATACCACAGGGGATATTCTTGTGTGCGGCATGCTAAGGGTGAAATCACAAAAAAAGTAAATAACTGAATAATTACTCTACTTTTCTTGGCTCTTTTGAAAATAAAAACTTTGGCGTAAGTGGTTGGCGGGTGCTCTGGTGTGGTTTGCTTTTTCTTTCCTATCAAACATCTATCGTCCTTATCTCCCCTTCTTCTTTTTTATGTTTTGTTACTCTCTTGTAACACCTCTAATCTTCTGGTGCTCATATGACCTGATACAGTTGTGAGTGCCGTAAAACTCTTACAAAAACTTACAAAAAAGAACTTTGGCTTTTCTCTGGATGAAGTGAATACATTTTGACCAATAAGATCTCTGAACAGATTACATAAAAATGGAGTGAAAAGTTCTACTCTCTCTGTGAATTCCCTGAAGTTATGTGTAATTTCAGCGACATTTTTTAAAGTTTGAATGTGTGTGTGTGTGTGTGTGTGTGTGTGTGTGTGGGTGTGGGTGTGGGTGTGGGTGTGTGTGTGTGTGTGTGTGTGTGTGTGTGTGTGTGTGTGTGTGTGTGTGTACTTTCAATGATTGTACAGTGCAGCATTTTGTGTGTCAATTGGATAGAGTGTTATATAAATGCTGTTTATTATCATCATCATTTTCATCATTATTATATAGTTTTTAAAATGCTCAGAGTTTTAAGTGAGCTAAGACAGTTATCATTTCTCTAGTAAACTTACTGTGTGTGTTGTGTTTCCGTTATTTGTGCAGTTGGTTTTGACGCTGGTGATATAGTTTTGTTTGCGGGTGGTTGGCGGGTGCTCTGGTGGGGTTTGCTCTTTCTTTCTTATCAAACATCTGTCGTCCTCATCTCATCTCTCCTTTTTTGTGTTTGTTACTCTCTTGTAACACTTTAAATCTTCGGCACCTACTGTATGACCTTATTGTGTTGTAAGTGCCTTAAAACGCTTTCTAAAACTTAACTGGTTTCGGTTCCCCTCAGGCGGCAGTAACGTCAGATCTGAATGGTGTGGCCATGTTTGTGACGGAGGCAGACAGTGACCGATCAGGACTTACCCAGCTGGATGCGATCAATGTAAGCTCAGACAGCAAAGATAAGACATGTTGAAAGAGCAATGTAAGTTCAGACAATAAAGATAAGACAAGATGAAGTGTGAAATGTAAGATCAAACATCAAAGATAAGACAATGTTGAAAGGGCAATGTAAGTTCAGACAATAAAGATAAGACAAGATGAAGTGTGAAATGTAAGATCAAACATCAAAGATAAGACAATGTTGAAAGGGCAATGTAAGTTCAGACAATAAAGATAAGACAAGATGAAGTGTGAAATGTAAGATCAAACATCAAAGATAAGACAATGTTGAAAGGGCAATGTAAGTTCAGACAATAAAGATAAGACAAGATGAAGTGTGAAATGTAAGATCAAACATCAAAGATAAGACAATGTTGAAAGGACAAGGTGAAGTCTGCAATGTAAGTTCAGACAATAAAGACCTCATATGACCTTATTTAGTTGCGAGCGCCGTAAAACCCTCTACTATAAAAAAAAAAAAGACAATAAAGATAAGACATGTTGAAAGTACAAGATGATGTAAGATCAGACAATAAAGATAAGACATGTTGAAAGTACAAGGTGGTGTGTGCTTAGACAATAAAGATAAGACAACAGATAAGACATGTTAAAAGGGCAATGTAAGTTCAGACAATAAAGATAAGACAAGAGGAAGTGTGAAATGTAAGATTAAACAGCAAAAATAAGACATGTTGAAAGGACAAAATAATGAAAGATGAGATAGCAAAGATAAGACATGTTGAAAGGACAAGATAACGAAAGATGAGATAGCAAAGATAAGACATGTTGAAAGGACAAGATAATGAAAGATGAGATAGCAAAGATAAGACATGTTGAAAGGACAAGATAACGAAAGATGAGATAGCAAAGATAAGACATGTTGAAAGGACAAGATAATGAAAGATGAGATAGCAAAGATAAGACATGTTGAAAGGACAGGATGAAGTGCACAATGTAAGCTCAGACAGCTAAGATATGACATGTTGAAAGTACAAGATGATGTGTGAAATCTAAGCTCAGACAACAAAGATAATTCAATGCTGCAGTCCTGCCTAAGACAGCCAACTGCCTTATACGGCCGCTTTCCTCCTTGACAATGGGTGGCCGTCGTACACAGGTTCGACTGTATATGTGCCATTTGTGAAGTTTGTGAATTTGGGCGGATTTTTGTAGCTTTCTTGATATATTTCCCTCAATTTAAGTCCAAACTTTAGCTTTGCCAGCCTGAATAAATGTGAGGCTTCAGGCGCTCGTCAAAATAATACAATTGAAGAAACAATTTTGCAATTTTATTTAAAAAAATTTTTTTTTTGACTCAACACTTTTATGTCTACATCAAAACACATTGCTATGTGAATTTGACTGAAAAACGTTGATTGAAGGCACAAAATATGTAATTTTTTTTTAGTTTTGAGGGACTCACAAGATACTGAAGTTACTGACATTTTGCAGCCATTATCTTGCTAATTTTAATATTTTATCACTGAAACCATGCACCCCCACCTCCTTCAATCTCAACTATCTCGATTTCGGCTCAAGATGGATGAGTATTATTTTTCATTGAAAGCAAGGCAAATGAATAAGCTTTCACTTTCAGATGATACCAATCATTCCACATGCCCAAAACTGATGAGCGCCTGATTCCTTCATGTCGGGACATGAATAATGTTTATAGTTTGACAGAGTAGTGCATTAACTCTTTTATCTCCGGCAAGCCGCTCCCAGCAGCCCGCGGTCAGAACCACTGTGCTGGTGAGCGGCTGACAGCGGCTCGGGCACATTCCTTTACGACGACTTCAAACATCAAATTACCTTTCAGCGATTGCTGGAAACAGGTCTCTTATACCGGAAGTTCATTCATTAGATGAAGAACTATCAAAATAGGTTTGCTAGTTTCTATTTAATGCACCATTTAATGACGTTCTTGTCACTTCTAGATGTAGCCCTGAAAAAGGCGTCATGGGTTTTCCCCCCTCAGAGGTAAAGAGTTAAGTATTAGATGTGATGCAGTGAAGCCTGCAACTTGGTTCACTCTCAGAGCTGAACTGCTCCAGGTGAAAAAAATTACTTGCACTTTTTTATTATCTTGTAGACTGTTACAGAAAAGTTACACTTTCAAATAAAATTAGTCAAAGATATAATAATTTTACCTTCACCAGCTGTTTTGTAATGTTCATAAAATTTCAGATTGCAATAAAGAACTGCAAGTACAAAAGAATTATCTAACATTCACTAGCTGTTTTACAATTTTCATAAAATTCCAGATTGCTATAAACAACTGCAAGAACAAAGAATTATCTAACATTCACCAGCTGTTTTACAGTTTTCATAAAATTTCAGATTGCAATAAACAACTGCAAGTACAACACCGCATTGCGTTTGGTTTGCACGACAACGGACCTGAAAGTTTTGAAGCATGTCGACGACAAAGGGAGAAACCTTCTTCATGTCCTGGCCCTGAGCTGTGAGAACAACTCAAAAACTAGTGATGGAGCGATAAATAAAGTGAGTGTGTGTGTTCCCTATATGGCTGGCATCTAGTTTTGTCACCGTATATTTTATAGTATACCAAAGCGTTTAGAGCCTCCATATCAATCATGTCTTCCAAATCAAGTTTAAGTTAAAATTTTGAGAAACTGCTTTTTTTTTTGTTTGTTGAGAAAATTTGGTACAGCCAGATGTGTGTGCCTTCATTTTCATTGATTTCAACTACGAAAGGTGTAATACCTTAATATCTTTGAAGTAAGAAAGTTGTCTACAGTGGTTTAGATACTTGCTGTGGTTTAGATATTTGCAGTGGTTTAGATACTTGCAGTGGTTTAGATACTTGCTGTTATATAAGCTGTATGTGTAGAAGTCAGTGGCACTGTTGGGCGAGAGGATGAGCAATTGACTGAACTTGAGTAGAAATCAGAAAAAGAAGAGGAGGAGGAGAAAGAGAAGTTGTTTTTTTAAATACATAATTGCCATTGCTTATTTAAACAAACATTTTTTAAAGTTTTGGTATTAGTAATTGTTTAGCAGCTCTTACAACACAAACACATATTATTATAAGTGCCAAAGATTAGAGGTGTTACAAGAGAGAGACAAACAAAGAGATGGAGGAAGAGAGATAAGGACAATAGACAGATGATTGATAGGAAAGATTGGGCGAACCACACCAGAACACCCACCATCACCCACTATACTGCCATGAGGTGACAAAACGTCTTTTTATCTTCAGAGCTGTTTCGAGAAAGAGTTTTTTTGTCAGTGTAATCATTTAAAAATAGAATTATTCAAAAATTTTAATTCCAAGCAACCAAAAAACTAGTCCCAGTTTCAATTTGCTTTTTTCACAAAAGTAGGGTAACTAATCAGGCTTTCGATTTAGCAAATAAAAAATTTTGGCGCCAAAATGAAAAACGGCGTTTGTCAACTTATGGCAGTATTAACATCGGAATTTCAATTATCGACCCACTGTAAACGATACATTTCCAAAAGGGCAAGAACAGACAGATATAGAAATTCATTCGTATCAACTGCAGTGAGGTTACTGAACACACAGTGCTACAAATGAAACAGAGGGAGGGAGAGAGGGAGGAAGGGAGAGAGAGAGAGAGAGAGAGA